GTGTTAAGTATTTATAGGTTTATAACCAAAGCTGCTTGGATCACGCAAAATGTGGAGGATAGTTTGAGGTTCATAAATTGATGTAAGGATGAGCTCAAAAGAAATTTCACGAACCCGGTTTAAATGTTTCCTGATATTTTAAGATTAAAATGAATTCATCTAAACAAGAACACTCTTCGATGTAACGCTGTATTGATTAATTGTAGCAAAACTGAGGGAGGTACCCCACCTCCTTTTTGAGGGATGCATCCTTTAAAGTAAAAAAACATAAATTATCTGCAAAATTTATTCAATGTTATATGCGTAACAGCAGTTTTTACTAGCAAATTTTAACAGAACAAAGACTGATACAGTATTATCTTGAATCTTGAGGAACCGGTGGGACAAGAAGCTTACAATGCTAGTGCTATTTAGGCTGTTAACATCACTTTCCGCAACAAGAAAGTTCTGAATCTGAACGATAAAGGAAGTAATCTTTCCTTCTGAAGGCAAAAAAATTGCGTTTCTGAAAATTTTGTTTTTATACTTTCTTCAAGCTTTTCTGGGTCGTGGTCCTGTTCTCCAGGTGAGCAACTGACAACTTTTCCAATTGTTTTGATTAAAGCTGCTTTTCCGAGATCGCATTTTTTAATGCTGTCCACTTAAAATCGAGGTCAGACATTAAATATAAGTCAGATTAGTACGAGTGGTTAAAGGTAACTGTGAGTTAACAGATGTTGGATAGGCTTAACAATAGTGAAGCAACAAAAGCCACTGATGGTGGAAAGACTAAAACTTTGAGATTTGAGAAGGAGGGAATGGAGGGGCGTGGGATAAATAACAATAACAATAGTAATAACAACAATAGTGATAATAATAACAGCAATAGTGATAAGAATAACAACAACAATAATAATAATGATAACGATAATAATAACAATAACAACAACAATAATAACAATAACAATTATAATGATGATTTTATGAAACATAGATTTGAAAAGTTAAGACAAATGACAAAGACTAAAATGGTGAGGAAGTAACGGCATGGAATTCAGAAGATAGGCAAAGGCAATGAAGCTAAGGACATATTCTGAAAGACCCATGAAGAGAAGAAAAAGGAAGAATAGTTTGAGCAAAATTACTCGCTGTTAAAACTACCAATGGTGTCCTCTTTCGAAAAATTGCTTAGAAGCAAGCTGATGACGGGTTTAAAACTCTCAGGCATATGCCAGTACCAATTTATCATCGAAACGAATGAACGAATCGCGCGGATCGATTGATTTTTCGCCCGAAGGGAAGGAACTTCTGATCTACTACACATCAACAGTGCTATTTCGCCAAGCGCCATGCATCATTTCCTTTCATCTCCCATTTGCAACATTCAAACTGCCGCCATCCATCGTGAGGTAATTCTACCCGTCATTGCCCGGGAAAAATTTTCGCAAATCGTGTATGATGCCAGCCGAGCCGAGTTTTAGTAATTGCTTGCGTTCATGAGACGTCGCGCTTGCATAGTGGGCATTGCTAGGCAGTTGTACCGATATGCCAAAGTTCCTGGAACGCGTTTGGGAATCGCTGGGAATGGGCAATGTGGAGAACAAGAAGGATAAAGTTAGTTCTTAAAAGTCTTGAAAGTCTCAAGTTATTCGTCTTACAGGGTATTTTTGGGGTTTTCCGGGTAAAGTTGCCTCTGGGCCGGTGGATTTTTGGACTAGATTTCCTGTATATTGGTGGCTTTTTGGCCCAATATTGGTCTCAGGGTTTATTGGCCGTTCTCACGTGGATCTATGGTTTTTTTGGCAAAGTCCTCCCAATATTGGACGGATTTTTGATTTAGCCTTCTCTTAGCTCGATAGCTTGATCCAGTTTTCCTCACATACGACGAGTTTTTGGCGTAGTTTTCACGTAGATCCAGTAGATTTTTGGCTCAATTTTGCGGTAGATTTCTTGGCTTCTTGGCCTGATTATTGTGTTTTGTGTTAGTCGATAGCGATTTTTCCTGTTTTTTCTGTAGATTCATTGGTGTTTTTTCCGTTTGGCCTAGTTTTTCGTGGAGTTCGGTCGCTCTCTGGGAGAATTCCGTTAAGGATCGATATCTTCCTGGACGAATTTTGGTGTTACTTGATGAGTTTTTTTGTCTGATGGCCTTTTTGGCATAGCGTTTATATGTTCGATGGCTTTCTGGCCTAAATCGAAGAATTTTTGGCTCAGATTTTCCGTTGGTCAATTTTTTGGCCTGGTTTTGCACAGAAAAACATCGCTTTCTATCCCAAACGTGACAAATTCTACACCGCAAAACACGGGTCAGGTAAACAGCATTCGGGGTGCCGTTACTATCAGTGAAAAAACGGCCTTAGAGGGAATTGCCCATCTGTTAAGTATCTTTACCCAAGATGCAAAAAGCGGAATTTCGAACAAATAGTTGATGCAGGTGATCTAGAATAGCTGAGTTTTTGCACGTTTGCTTCTCAGAGTGACGCCGGCAAGATTATCATCTTAGCGATCATCGGAAGGCCGAATCATAAGTGGACGGTCCAAGTGGAGCGGCCGAAGTGGGTTAAATTGATAAATAATTTGCGGCCCTTGGCGGGCCGAGCCGTAATTTCTAAAGCAAGCGGCCAGTCCCAACCGCGGATAATACGGTCCGGCCATAATTTATAAATTTAATATAGGGTTGAATTTGTTAATAGATTATGAGCAACTTCGATGTTTTTTTGGTGGCTTTTCAATAAATTGTATAATTTTGCAGGTCTATACAATAACAGAGGAGGAATTTGAAGAGCCGATCCGAGATGATTATGTGCAATCGATATCGCGGCTTTCATATGCTGAGCTCGACGACAAATACAATCCAGGTATTCAGGTTGGCGTTTCATCTTCTCTCTGCGTACCTCACCCTTTAAAAATGCGATTTTTTAGTTTCCTTTTCTGCGGCCAATGAAGAGCAAGGGGTTCAGAAGGGGAGTGATAAGTAACAGCCATTAGAAAGCCGAATCATAAGTGGAGCGGCCGAAGTGGGTTAAATTGATAAATAATTTGCAGTCTTTGGTTGGCCGAATCGAAGTTTTGCGTGCAAGGCATGAAGGAAAACTTTTAAATTGTCTTTCATATTATTAATTTACTCATTTATTTTTTTTTTCTTACTTTTTGCTTTTTTTGATCTTGTAAAATAGCATTTTCGTAAAAATTTTTATCAGGATTGTGATGATTTACTAAGCTTTTTCAAATCCTGTTGTTCCTTCGTTTGTATCCTAAAATTGATTATTGAAAATTCCTTTTTTTTTTTTTGCTTTTTCTCATATTTTATATCTTTAATTTACCTTTTATCTATTGAAATTTCTTCTTTTTATTTTTTCATTATAAAAAATTCCTTTTTTTTGTTTTTTGTTTTTATCTAACATTGTACCTTAGCATTTTGTCACTGTTCAACCGTTATTTCCACATTTAAAACGATACATTTACAATACTCAAATTTCGTTATATCAGTAGAAACACAGGGCCTAATTGTTCCACGTGACCTGTTTTTTTTAGGGCCAACATTGCCTGACGGAAGTATCAACTTCGAGTGCCACTGTGTTGGACATTTGGTAGCAAGTCCATGTGGTCATGAGTTTCGTGAGGCGCTCAAATGTCAGAAGGGTGCCGGAGAAACAGAACTGGATGAGGGTGCTTGCGCTGAAGAGTTCATGAATTTCATGAAATGCGTCATCAGGACAGAGTGCTTCAAAAGTAAGCATAAATTTAAAAAATTTTTTACCTTACTTAAAAAAGTACCTGGAACAGCTGTGATTTATTGTGAGGCTGTACTGACGATTCCCACTCCTATCCGCATGCATAGTCCGATCTGTGTTTACAGCCAAGGGATGAAACACACAGAGACTGCATCGTAAGATATCACCTTACTACATCTAAACGATGAAAGACAGTTTGCACCGTAAAGTATCACCTTACATATGACGCCTGTGTACTTCTTGTCTATTATTTTAACGTGAACTGACCGTGTATTTTGATGTAACTTTTACTTGAACTATGAAAAGATCAGTAGCTGCACCGGTGACATAAAGATGTTGCTGCGGTGAGTCTGGAAAAAGTTTGAAGTATAAAAGTAATAGAAAAAATCCAAAAATAAAAAATTATAAAAAAACTTAAGAATAACAAGACCTCCTTGATAAGCAGTGTGAGCATGCCATATTTTGCTGAAGTTTTTGCTGAAAAAAATGTTTCGCTGAAAAAAAAAAAAACAAAATAAAGCTCTGAAAAACACCAGACCGCTCTGAAATTTCGCTGATTTGTAGAATAGGAATACGAAATCTCAATTCCTTAAGAACTTTTAACCGTAGATCGAATTTATTATCGCCGAATTTGGCCTTAAAAGATTTTTCTGTCTTAAATTATTTTGAGTTTTGCACATGTTGCAGGTAGACGTACTGGTGAAGGTGATGGTGATGAAAAACAGAAAAGTGAACATGAAATCACCGAGGTCCCAAAAAAATCAACATCTTCAGAAGAACCTGCCAAACAAACCGATAGGGCCACCTAGCTTTTTTTCAGAATTACCTAGGCTTTTCTAACAGCAAAAAAAAAAAAATATGTTTTGTTTTTTCGAATCTCGTGCACGATTTCAAATTTGGTTGAGCGTTTGAAATTGATTTTACTGGTTTTATTGATGGAACACTTTGCTCAAAATAATCATCCGGTACTGAAAAATTATGGCCAATAACATATTCTAGTTATAACTGTTGATTTTGTTTTGTTTTGAAGATCTGTGGTACTTCAAATGTTCCAAGTTTTTAATCCATTTTTTTTTGTTTTTTTTTTTTTCTCATTTACTTTGAAAGTTTCGAGTGTTTAGCGTATTTGATGCTCAATTATTGTATGACAGATTTGTTACGTTGATAAAATATCATTTATTCAGACCTTTACATATCTTCATTGATTGCTTGCGGGTTTCTTTAGTTTTTTTCCGCCTGCAGTGGTGAAAAAAAAAAAGAACGATTTTAAGGACTCACATTTCCTGGGACAGATGGTTTCTGAAGTAGCCTGAAACTGGATCTGTAGAAGCTGAAGTTAGCTTGCATAGGTTGTCCTGACTGTACAAATTTTACTAATCCGATTATTTCGGGATTTTGCTAATCTACGCCAGCATGCATCATTTTGAGTACTTCATCATTGGCTGCAGCATCAATTTTCAACAGCATCAGTTCGCTTTTTCTGGCATCATTACTTTTATCCATGAACCAGCATATGTCGCTTTTTCTTTTCGTGGTCCAGAATATGCCTGTTGCTGCTTCATAAGTGTTTACAGCTAAGGGATAAAACACAGACTATACTCCAATATGTTCATGGATACGTATGGTGTGTAAATCCATAACTCTGATTTTAAAGTTCCTGTTCATCTGGCTGTTATTGAGTTGTTTCCCCGGACCAATTTTGTTTGGGCCCAAAAAAAAACGGTTTGTCGGGGGTTTCTATTTCTGGGGATGAGGGGCACACTTGTGGCGCCTGCCGTCGATGATACACACATATGCGCATGGCAAGCAAATATTTGCATAAGAAATAAACGTACTGTGTGAAATGCGGTCGGTCTCGAAGGCACTGAAAAAAGGTTACTTAAAAATATGCGAAAGGTCGATTGCGTAATGCACCATCATCGTCGCTGCGAGCCCGGCTTGTCCCCTGAGCAAACAGAACTGATGGATATGTCGGAGGGCCGGGGTACTGGTCACAACAACAGTTATGAGCAGCTTACTACTCCCTCGTGTGTGTTACCCATACCTCATTTTGGATGAGTTTAGTTGCGGTCAAAGAGATGGTTGCGCAAAAAATTGCTTGAATTTTGCATTTTGGAACTTCTTTTTTGAACATTTTATGGGCGACAGTGCTAGGTGGTTGCAGGAAAACGAGCGTCAAAATTTGGTGGGAATTTATTGCTCCTCTCAGTACTGAGCTGATTTTTATGTACTTCAACTGAATTTGCTTCTTCCACTAGCACTTTGAATAATAACACGGTAAAGAGCCGGAAAAACGAACAACCAGTTTTAGCGACTCAGTCAAATTTTGAATTTTATGTCTCCTGTCAGTTCTCTTATTACATGTGATTTTCGTATTTTCTAAATTTCTTGTGTCTTTGTATTCTGTCTGACATTTCCTTGTTCCTCGATCACTAGAAGCAGAAAAGCAGGAAGTGGGGAGATCTGTTATCTGCTTCAAATCATACGATTGAATGCAAAAAATTGCATTCAAAACTTATCCGAGAAGATTCCTGACTTGAACAATCTACAAATGAAAGTTTCTTTATTTTCGAAAAGCTTTGCCGTCTAGTAAGCTTATCTTTCCGGGAAGCCCTTGCGTTCAATTTTACTTTGTTCAGATGCAGTTCACTGCGTGGTTCGCCGGCTGCCTGCATTGATCAACGATGAATTCAATATAGTTTGGGAGATTATTTAGTTAAAAAAAAAAAACCGGTACAAGCTAATGTCAACCTGACCAGCTCGTTGGTAATGCAGTAAAGGTTAAGCAACTATGCACGCATGAACGGGGCGCCTAGATATAGCTGCGCCTGTCTTGTCGGGTTATTCCAGTAACGTTGATTACACTAGTTTTCGGGGCCCTGGTAAAACAACTTTCACAGTTAAATAGATTTATTTGCTGAAATGATTGTGATGCTGTTCCCTCTAACGGGATCGAATAAAGAGAAGGTGATATCTTATAATGGCATAGCGGGAAAAGAGTTGGGCTTAAAAGGTGTGACCTTTTACCCTAAAGAGGCTTATCGGATCTGGCGGCTTCGTTCCCTCAAAAAATGACAGTTTCGCCGAACCAGAATAACTGTGTATTTACTGTAAGTGCGTGGATTAACATGACTAGTCCCAGCAGCACTTACTATAGAAAAAAGTGGGACATAGGTACCCGCGTAAAAAGGTCGGAACTGGACAAATATGCACTAATCTGAAGAGGCAGTTTTTCCGAATTTGCTCATCGAGGCCGGAAAATAGCAATTTGATCAGAAATTCCTGTGTGTCAGGCTGCGATTTAATTTGTTTCAACGGATTT